AGGAATGAAGGAATGAAGGAATGAAGGAATGAAGGAATGAAGGAATGAAGGAATGAAGGAATGAAGGAATGAAGGAAGGAAGGAAGGAAGGAAGGAAGGAAGGAAGGAAGGAAGGAAGGAAACCAACATTTCGGCTAGAAGTCTGGATTGAAATAACCAGGGGACATGCACTTTGCGCCCTCCATGTGTCTGCCCTGCAGGTAGGAACAAGCCCGAACCCTCTGAGCTCCTTGGAGCCTGAGTGTAATCCGTTTACTGCATGTCTGACACATTAACGCACTAAGTGGCTCCCTCACGGTCTGAACATGTTACCACAGTCACAGCCTGAGTGCCTAACTTCACATCGAAGTGACTCCGGCTCGGGGATAACTGGCAGCAAAGCTGTATAAATGGGCATCACAAGGGCAGGAACGAATCAATGATGTCGTCTGTCCATTTTTCAGACCGCACCAAATCTGATTTTCTGCTAAGACGAAAACGCTAGTGACGGAGACCAGCGCATCCGTAAAAACACAGATCTTGTGGTTCATCACGTGTCCATCACATGTATGTGTAGTCGGATTGGCTTCAGGAGACGTGTCTGAACTATGATTCCCTGGCTCTCACCACCAGCACTGAGACGTGACCAGCCCTGGCCGGTGTGGCTCAGTTGGTTGGGCGATGTCCTGTGCACCAAAAGGTCACTGGTTCGATTCCTGGTCAGGGCACATGCCCAGGTTGCGCGGGCTCAGTCCCCGGAAGGGTGCGTGCAGGAGGCAGCCGATAGTTGTTTCGCCCTCACAGTGATGTTTCTCTCTCTCCCCCCTCCTCTCTCTCTCAAAAAATCAATTTAAAAATCTTTAAAAAAATAAGTAATCAGAATACGACCCACTCCAGTCATTCAGAGCACATTTTATTAACACAGAAAGACTATGATTCACCTTATTAATCTCACAGGGGGCACTGAGACCCCAGAAAGCACCACTCATGTCGCACACCATGAACTTGATTATACGAAGGAAGCAAAACACATCATTACCAAAAATTCCTCACTGATGACAAGTCCTTCCCTCCCGCCCCCAAAAAAATGTATTAAAGGTTTCGAATATACAAATCTAAAAATATGGTACAACATTTAACATTAAGACTCGACTGTATTTTTTAAAATATACTGAGCATCTCTCCTTCCCGATTCTCCAATTATGTGAAGAAGCCCTTTCCATCGTCTTTCTTCTGACCGTCTATCCTTTGTCCTTGAGCAGAGCTGGGGGCTGCACAGGGACCGGGGGTGGTGACCAGGACGCCTGCTCTGCGGACTGTGCGTGCTGGCTCCGGAGGTGGCCCTTGCTGCCGGGAGATGCCTCCTTTCGTGGGTTCGCTGTGCTGGTCTTCCCAGCAGTTTCGATCCAGGGGTGCTTAAGGACTTGGTGAGCCGTGTAGCGCTTTTTGGGGTCTACCACCAGCAGCCGGCTCACCAGGTCTTTGGCGCCTGTTGGAGGGAGCAAAGGAAGAGAAAGTGAGAGGAATGCAGGTGGCGCTGGATTTTCCTTCCCTGTCCCCGTTAGCGCCCCGTGCTACACTGGAGCAAACTGCCTGCGACGAGGGGAACCTTCCATATCCGTGCCACGTGCTTGGGACTACTGGGCATTTGAAACAGGGCTGGTGCAACCAAGGAACTGAATTTTTATTGCATTTACTTTTAATTCGCTTACATTTCAATTTAAGTAGCCACATGGAGCTGGGGGCTGCCCTGCTGGGCAGAGCGGCTCTCCAGGGTGCTGGTTCACTTCAATGAGTCAGGGGCCAGGCCCACCATTAATAGCCACGGCACCCAGGCCACATCTGTCTACATACTTTACACTTATAAACCCAACTATCAAGTTGTTAAATAAAATACGTGCATTCTTCCTTCCTACGTTGACAAATATGCCTCATATTGACAAAAATTTTTTTTTAAATGTACAAAGAAACCTACGTAGTCAACAGTGCAAAGGAAAGATTTCTGTTTTCCCAGGCTGGCTCTCTGAGTCTCCTCTTCTAATCACTCGAGAACGCATGGGGGGGGGGGTGGCAACCGAAAAAACACCCACTTCTCTTTGCCTTTATTGGGGAAGCCTCTTGCCCAAGATCAGCCGCTGACCCACCAATCACCCTTCCTCTACGCCAGTGTCAGCCACCTCTGGAGCATGGAAGCCACAGGACTCCTCCTGCCCCACCCAGTTCACACTGGAGAGGCGCCCCAGGGCCCACCCCAACCAGCATCACTCCTCAGGTCCTCAAAGGACTCAGGGTATTGAAGGCCAGATTTGAACTGGGGACTCTCAGACTCGTGTGTACACATGTGGACAGTTAGTTGGACACCCCACCAACATGTCTGCGCTCTCTCAACCCCCTCCCCCAAAGAAACAGTCACCCTTGGCCTCCCTCCAGCACTGTGGAGAAAGGTAGGGAAAGGTGGTCTCGCCAGTCTTGGAAGTGAGCCTGGGCCATAAGGAGGGGAATCCTGGGGTCCTGGTGAGGGGGTCCACAAGGGGAGGCCTGGACTCTGGGGGCACAGGCCCCACAGTCTCCTCACTCCGGGAGGAGAGGTGCAACAGAGTGAGGGCCACCATGCCCGGATGTACCAGTGCTGCAGAGAATTTCTAAATGACTTTCAGTCCTGAATTTTCCAATGGCCACTGCCTTGACCAGCTCAAGACCTCACTCTATCTGTAGCAAGCCACCCCTCCCCCTACCTTATTTACAGGGGCCAGGTGGGAGGGGTGAAGCTTTTCCTTCCCCTCCTCCCCCAACCCCAAGCGAAGAGGCAGGGGCCTGGGATGAGGGCAGTTCAGTAACTAATCTAAGTGGCATGCTTAGGGACAACAGGGGTGGTGATCAGTTATCACTCCTATTCTACTGCTTAAGCTAAAGACTCAAAACCCCCAATTATCTAATTCTCGATTTTACAAGGACAGTGGGTAGAACAGACAAACCAGTAGAAACAAGGGACAGATTCCATTGGAAAGGGCCAAAAAGGAGACCTTCACCCCTTAGCTCCCAGAGCCCGTGCCCCAGATTTGCCCCCACAGGACCCCTGATTTTTCACAAGTAAAATAAGCATTTCTAGTCTATTTGACTCACAGACACATCTATTTACATGAGATGGTTCTGATCTTCACAAATGAGGGTGACATGTTCCTTATTTGCCTTAAGGAAACGTATTTGATGGTTGCAACTAGCGGTTAGACTTTCTCGTTAGATCTCAAAGCACGTCGTGTTTGGGATGCAGATTTACACAGCAGGAAATAAAGGTGCACGTGCCCAGTGCACCTCTGTGCAGGTGCTGTGCTGGGCCCTCTGCGTTCTCATCACGCATCTGAGCTAGAGCCTGCTCCCAGTCAGCACCCCGAGGGGCTCAGCCCCGCATCCCCTCCTCCCAAGCGCGGAAGCCCCGAACCTCACCCTCAGAGATGTTGTCCCAGTAAGGGGCCAGGAACTCGAAGTGGCCCAGCTGGATGATGTCGAAGAGCTCGTCCTGGTCCCTCTCCAGGCTGCGGAAGGGCGGGAAGCCACACAGCAGGATGTAGAGGATCACGCCCGCGGCCCACATGTCCACCTCCAGCCCGTAACCTGCGCAAGGGAGGCAGAGACACAAGCACAGCTGGGACCCGGCTGGATCGAACATGAGGCGAGAAACTGGAGAGTCATCGCTCTGGGTCACAGAGGACCTCAGCCCTCAGCAAGCGAGAGCCACTTCCAAACACGAGACCGCCAACTCCCCCAAACACGGGGGCCACACCGGGGCTGCTCGACCTGTGGCCCCAGACCACGGCCTCTGTGGGATCCTGTATTACTGGTCTGTGATAAAATAAGCACAGGTGTGGAAAGTAAACATGTGGAAGCTCTTATGTGACACGATCCATGGACACACAGTGAACAGGGTACAGATCAGTCCCAGGGTACAATCAGGGGTGTGTAGCCCCGCGGTGAGTCACACGTGGCCTGAGCTGTGATCCCTTCTCTGCAATAAGGGGAGCCCTGACTTGGGATGAGTTCTCATGCACTGGTCAAAGGGAGCTGCTTCAGATATTTCCATTAAAAGCTAAGTGGCAGCTTAGTGCAAACTCTGAGATGTCTGACTGCTCCGCATTGAAAAATATGAAATATTCAATATTAAAAAATGAAGCATTAATCAGTCAGTGAGCACGGGTCCCACAGGGCAACATGTCACACTCACCCTTCTCAGAAAGAATTTCAGGCGCCACATACGTCGGGGTCCCACACACAGTGAATACTGGTCTCACCACGTGCTTCGCGAGGCCGAAATCAGCCAGCTTCAAGGTCGTCGATTTGTCTTCATTCCGCTGAACCTGTAAGAAACCAAAACCCCCAAACCACCGAAACTGTGATGAGAACCAAGAAGGAAAAGTAATGAGACAACCAGCATAAAGGTCTGGATAACAAACAATAGACCCACATGTGCTTGTAGTTCAGCCCAACACTGATCAACCCGATTTATCTCAGTGGCTGGTGCTCACATTTTCAAGAAAGGAATTAATGAGTTCGATGGGTCCCATAGTGCCACGGGCGGCTGGAATAGTCGGTGTCATGTACCAGTGATGAGCACAGGCTGCAAAGCCCGACCGTCGGGGTCCAAACACCAGCTCGCCGTTGGCTAGTAACTGGCCAAGTAGCTTGCGCTCTGTGTGCCTCCGTTTCCCCATCTGTAAAATGGGGATGTGAACCCTTATGGGACTACGATGAGAATTAAATGAACTAGTCTGCGTAAGGTGTAATCCCTGGCACCTAAGAAGCACAATGTAAGTGTTTGTTAAGTAAACCATATTACTTTAGCCGACAAAACAGTTCGCCTCCGAAGGCTGGGCCTAACTTCAGGCAAAACGCACAGCGTGGGAAGCTGGCATTGATATCTCCCTGCGTCCCTGTCAGGATCTCCTCGTTCAAACGGAAACCCCCTTTTCAGACAGGGCCCTGCTCCATCGGCTACTGTCTAAGCTCCATCCCTCTCCCCAACCCTTACCTGACGGCATCTCAACACAGAAGCTGGATGCTCAGGCCAGCGGTGCCCGGAGCAGGCGACCGCAGAGGGATGCTAAAGGCACCGGGCTAAAGGGAGAGACTCGTGGGGGGCGCCAGAGCTACAGGAGCCAGTATCAGCTTGTCCGCGGGCACATGCTCTCATATCTCTAACAAAACTGGGCAAATGTCCCAAGGCTCCCACCTGCGCTGGGGCAGGGCGTGGGAGGACAGTGGGGAGCCCCCTGGCTCTCCCTGTGCCCCATCAGAGCCGTGGGGACAGAGACACCCCGAAAGGCAGAGGGGTGGAGCAGCCACTCCCCATTCTCCCCACACAAGAACACGTTCTCTGAACTTGCTCTGCCCCTGCCAGCAAGCTCTCTCTTTGAGCAGAATATATCTTAATTACCGAGTCTCAGTCACCACTGGCTCCATAACCGGCCCAGCCAAACAGGACAGCACAGAAGTGGCACAAAACTGCGATTCTGCCTTGGTATGCGGACGGACGAGGCAGACACAGCCCCAGAGCAGACAAGGGAGGTGATTATTAGAATAATTTAGGTTAGAAAATCGAATTTGGGGGGGAAGGACAAAAGCGGGCTGCCTAGAGTTTCCAGATGGATCGTCTACATTAATCACATTTGCTGGGTGACTGTTGAGAAAATATGTCCCTCACAAATATTTGCAAGTATTTCCAAACAAATGATCAGCATTCAACTGACTTAATACGCATTGGGCTGACTCAATACACCAAAATAAACACGCATTCCTACGTGAAGTAACAAAATTCCCTTCCTCGGAGAAGCCCCCCATTCCAAAACCAGGCTCCACGGACGGAGGTCACAGCAGTTTAAGCACGGTGGAAACTCGGGCTCTTTTTGTTTGTTTGTTTTCAATTCTCATCTGCGGATGTTTATTGGGGTGGAAGGGGACACCCATGCAAGAGAGGAACATCGATCGGTTGCCTCCTGTACATGCCCTGACCAGGGATCGAACCTGCAGCCTCTTGGTGTATGGGATGACACTCCAGCCAACTGAGCCACCTGCCCAGGGCTCAGTCTTTCTAGTTTGGATTTTTATTATGCTGATGGATGTGGGCTGTTAGGGGTGGCCACCCGTGGGAGGTAAATGCATGGGGGAAACAGTGGAAGATGGGGTGTTTTAGTGCCCTGCTTTGGATGCAGGTGGTCTTCATTATTCACATAAGCACCCAGGTAACATCTGGGTGGTCTCGGAGCTTGGCGAGGAGTCGTCCTTCCTAACAGCCGCCCTCTCCTTCACCGGTGGGTGACGCGGGTGTGATCTGGCAGTCACCACCTCTGAACAGAAGATGGCGGCAGAATGCAAACCAAAGAGCAAGAGGCCGCCGAGAGAAATTACTGGAGGTGGGTGAGATTTCTTTCTCTTTGCCAAAATCTTACTGGATCCTTCACGGTTCCCCTGGCCTTTTCCGCCACGGCTCCATTTGCAACGGGCTGTGAGGACCAAACTGATCTTAGAAACCAGTTCACATCGGAATGCCTAAAACCAATTCACATTTCAACAGCAAAAGATACTGTAATACAAAAACATGACTGGAAAAATCAGTAGGGACAAAGTCTTCCCTGGGACCTGTCCACAGAACAAGCCTAGGACATGCCTTTGGAGTCTACACATCATGCCAGTCTTTTTAAACATCTCATATGCATTCAACAAACATTAATTAGATGCCTACCATGTGCCAGGCACTGTCCTAGGCACTAGGAATAGAGTAGTAAATGAAACAGGTAATCTCGATTTTATAAAGCCCTCTTTCTATCAAAATATAATAAATAAACATGTAATTTCAGGTCATGATGAGTATTATAAAAAATAAAAAGTGGGATAAAGGCTGTGTTGTCTAGTATGATAGCCACTAAACACATGTGCTATTTATTTTTAAGTAATACGTAAAGTACAGGTCCTCAGACACTCAAGGTACATTTCAAGTGCTCATATAGCTAGTGGCTACCGTGCTGGGCAGTGCAGATATAGGACAACTCCATCATCACAGAACATCCTATTGGACAGCAGCAGGGGGTGGTATTTTAAATAGGGTAGTTAAGGAAGAATTCACTGAGAAAGTAACGTTTGAAAAAAAAAAATCAGGGATGAGCCATATTAAAATCATAGGAGCAAGCTTTTCAGGTGAAGGAAGTAGCACGTGCAAAGGTCCAGGGGCATGCTTGGCCTGATTAGGAACAGCGAATAGGGGCAAGGGTGGAATGAATGAGGGGTGAGTGGTTGGAGTAGAGCTTTGAGAAGACAGAGGCCACATCACACAGGACTTCCAGGCCATGGAAATGAACTTAGCCCCTATTCTGAGTGTAATGGGAAGCCAATGACAGCTCTGAATGGAAGAGTTTCAGGTTCTGGTTTACATCTGGAAGGCCATTCAGGCTTCTGTGAGGAAGCTGACTTCAGAGGAAGAGGAAGGACCAGTGAGGAGGTGCCTGCCATGGTCTCAGCAAGAGGTGACAGGGGCCTGGTTTTGGGCAGTGCAGTGGAGGTGCAGAGAAGCATCCTTCTAATGGCCAAGACAAGACTAGGGAATGGACTGAGGAAAGAGCAGACTCAAGGGCGGCTCTGAGGTCCCTGACCCAAGCAGCTGGGTCAGCAGTGGCCCCGTCTGACGGACAAGGGCGCCTGGCTGGAGCTCACGAGAGAATAAAACAAGGAAAACTGCAAATGGTGAGTAAAGAAACCTCTTTCAGGGTGTGCGTGTGCAGATCGCATTAAAATGAGGCAGTAGCTGAAGGGGCACGCGGAGAAAACAGGGTTTGGTTTGGTTTAAAGTTGGAGGGTATTACGGTATGTTTACATGATGATGGAGTGGGGGGAAGGGAAAGCACGTGAGAGGCGCCTCGTCCCGTGGGATGCGGGGCCAAAGGCCCCACTCCCATGCCCACCCGTCTCCTTCCTTCCAGCCCTGTTTCCAGAGCTGGAATATGTCCCTTGTCTTCCCTTTGCTGGCACAGATTTTTCTCAAATGACCTTGCTCCCCACTGCCCTCCTGACCACCCCAACTTACTCAGCTTTCTTTGCTGTATGTAATATCTTGGTTGTCGGCCATAAATAACCTGGCCTGTCCACGTCCCATTCTGTGTGGGCTGGGCTGGTCATCACCACCTCTCCAGCTCCTGTTTGCTTCCTCCCCTCCTCCCAGGGCCCGGTCACCACCACCCAGCACGTCCCAACCCTGCCCAGGGAGCACACACTGACAGGAGAAGCAATTAACACTTGATGTTTCTGCAAGCTGGAAATTCTCATAATTAAAACTTACTTTGCAAGATCTCAGGAGTCTAAATAACCTGAAGGGGAAAAGAAGACTAGCAGCTTATCATGAAATGGGATCTGTAGAAATAAACTCAGTAATAGAGGCCTAAAATTTTATTCTAGGGCCCAATTATCAGACACAAATATTTCTGCTGATTAAAACAACATAATAAGCTTGCTATATAGTCATTAAGAGCTCTTAGTTTATTCAGAAAGTCTCTAAAAGCAGCAACAATCATAATCAGCCATGTAATCAAAAGCTAGTTCTCACATAATCATTTTCCCAAGCTTAGCTAACACCCGTCTTAATACAGACAGTAACCATCCATGCAGGTAAGAAACAATTATTTTGATAATACAAAGCTCAACACAAGTGCAGAACACTCAATGACAGAACATTAACTGATGGATGGTAGTCACCATGGTAATAATCACTAATATGAAACCTTAGAAGACCTAGCAAATTTCCAATGTCATTATCATATCAGCAAGTTTAGAGATGACAGTGTTCTAAACCCAGACAATGAGCCCATAATCAAATCCAACACAATCCAGACCTTTCTGAAAAACCAAGAAGCAATGACGTTTAGACAGCATTTAGAGTCCTGATATAACAATATGTTGAACTTTACTCACCCAGAAAAAAGGAAAAATGGTTAATAAATGTGACAGGACAGGTCTATTCATTTTGATAAATGCAAGCGGATGAAATTATGCACAGGGGAGGAAAGATATTTGCCTGTTCCACATAAACAGCTCATGTATTTAAACTGAAAATTTATAGCGACTCTGCAAATTTGCCTCTGTCTCTCTCAGATCACACACACCCACACACAACACACACACACAACACATAAACACACTTCACTGCCCTTACGGGCACTAAAAACACATATTTACTGGCATTTAAATCCACGGGGAGTTGCCGAATGACTTCTCTGAGGCAGTTAGCGTGTCCCCACTGAAGTGCACCTTGCAATGTTCTACTTCCTGGAGCCACTTCTCCACACAATCTATACCAGGGCTGACTTTTTCCATTTTAAAAATTGCTGACAAGTAAGTCCCTCTACACAAGTGAGAGTCTCTATTGCCCAAGAGATGGGCCAGCTCGACAGATTGGTTCCAAGACCTTGCAGAGAAAATGCAAGCTCAGATGACTGTCCCCAACAGAAAATGATCCTATCTGGTAAATGATCTCATTCCACATCCTGCAGAACTTGTATGACCGTCATAATGCTTTATGAGGCGCACACCCAAAATGTTCAGCCCACGAGACCAGACCAGGCCTCTGGGCAGAACCTGTCCTGCTGAGACAATTGGGGGAAACGTCAGAGGGTCATTAAAGAACATTAAAGCAGCCATAATGAACAGTTCATCACACATCCCACATGGAGATTACTTGGGCTCAGACCCAGGAGATAGAAACAAAAAAGCAACTGAAGAAAGGAGGAGGGCCCTGAGCTCATGCAAAAATGAAATTTTCCACAGAAGAGCTATTTGATGGTAATTCACACCACTCAGGCAACCAAAGTCCTGCAGTTCTGTGAACTGGGGCAAAAACAATGTTGCTTGACTTTAGTGGTCAGGCAGACCTTATTTCACCAGATAATTAGCCTGACTCACTCACTGTTTCATTCTCCTCGTGGGAGTAGTTTACAGACAGATGAATGCATGGGGATGGTGTATCCAGGCTGGGTCTACAGCCATGGAAAGGAAAGGAAACAGGCTAATCCCCTAACAACCACACAAAAACGTGGCTCATCGAGATCACTGTCTCCATTCACTACTGCTTTATCTGCAGCAATCCGGCTTTGATTCATGATACCCACCTTAGTATCAGAGTGATTCTGATGTAATACACTGACGGTAGCTGCCAACTGACGGAATGCTCACGACTTCTCAGGCAGCCTATGTTTGCACTCATTCATTCATCCTAACGTTTAATGAACATCCACCATGTGACAGAGCTGTTCTAGGTTTCGGGGTAAATCTGAATAAAACAAAGTTCCTACTATCATAGAACGTTCTTCCGGGTAAGAGAAAAAAGAAAACAGAAGACTAAATATAGACTGCGTCAGCCTGGCCAGGGTGGCTCAGTGGATTGAGTGTTGTCCCATGCACCAAGAGGTCGCTGGTTCCACTCCCAGTCGGGGCATCTGCCCAGGTTGCAGGCTCAATCTCCATTAGGGGGGTATGCAGCCGATCGATGTTTCTATCATCAATGTTTCGCTCTCTCTCCCGCTCCCTTCCTCTCTCTAAAAAATCAGTAAAATCATATTTATAAATATAGACTGTATCAGCTGGTGATCAGGACCAAGAAGAAAGTGGGATAAGGGAGCCAGAGGGTGACCGTGTAAGTCTGCTATCCTAGCAAGGCCACCAGGAGCACACTTGTGGCTCTGGAACACGCTGGGCTTAGTGACTCATTGCAACACGGAGAACACACACCACTGGGACCCAGGCAGCTAAGGAACTTACTGCAAGACTTTGGCTGTGTTAGATGATTTGGGGAGGGGCTCAGAAAAAGCAGGGTTTTGCTCTGAATCAAATACTGTGAGGAAGAGAGAGTAACTGTACAACTGGGCATCTTAGTGACCCCCATCTAGACGGTGGGAGGAATGAAGTGAGGCCGTCACTCATAGCAGCCAGAGGGGGAGATGTGGCTGTATTTGTGGCTTGGACAATCTTGTTTCTATCTGCATTTGGACGTGGTTATAAAGGGGTCTTGCATTTGTCGGGATCCATCACAGCCACAGAGTGGCCTCATCTGATACGGGTGTTCTGTGAAACCATTTCTGTTCAACAGGAGAGCACCACAGCTGAGCGGGAGCACCAGGCCAGCTCCCAGCAGTCAGGGGCTGCTTCTCTCTCTCCTGTGCTCAATTCTCATTCAACCTTCCAACAGAGGTACTATTACCATTTCTCTTTTATAAATGAGAAACTAAGGCCCAGAGAGGTGAAGGACTTACCCTAGAACAAGCAACTAAGAAAGCCAGGATTCAAAGTAGGTTATCTGATGAAACCTATAATATTTTATTAACCAATGTCACCCCAATGAATTCAATTTTTTTTTAAATAAAGGAGGTTATCTGACTACAGAGCCAGCCACTTATCCACTCCACACAGCACGGTGAGCCTTTTGAGCTCCCGTGGCAAAGATCCGGGTGGTTTCAGTGGGAGAGTGGACACAAAGCCTGCAGGGGACACTACAGCGACCAGCAAGACACCCCGATACGAAGGCCAGAGTTTGTGCAAATGCCCAAGAGACAGGTCCACCTGACCAGTGTCAAGATGACAGTGTTCTCCTCCCAGGGTCAAGGAAACATATTCCATTTTATTTAAATTGGAAGATTTCTTTTCCCATAACCTCATCAAAGCCAATGAATGTCAGAACTTATGAACTACCACGAAGGTTTTAAATATCGGAACGAGCGGGTTAGAAAGGCACAAAGGTGCTGCGCTCGCGGGCAAGGGAAACTGCGCGGCCTTACCAGCAGGTTCTCCGGCTTGAGGTCCCGGTGGACGATGTTCTTGTCGTGCATGTGGACCAGGGCCTGGCACAAGTCCATGAGCATGAGTGCGGCGTCGTGCTCCGGGAACTTCACGTGCTCGATGATGGCGTCGAAAAGGTCCCCGCCCTGCACGTACTCCATGATCAGGTAGATTTCCGCGTCCGTTTCGTATACTTCGTGCAACTTCACTATGTTGGGGTGCGAGAGGCTCTGGATGATTAAGATCTCGCTGTCCATCATGTCCTCCTTGCCCTTGAGCTTGGACTTGTCGATGATCTTCATGGCGTAGGCCTGCCCGGTGTCCCGGTGCCGGCACTCCTTCACCACGGCGAAGTTCCCGTCCCCGATGACGCGGCCGGTCTCGTACAGCTTCCCCACGTCGGCCGCGAGGATGCCCGCGGGCCGCCGCTTCCGGCCGCCGGGCCTCTCCGCCCTGCTCTCCTCCGGCCTCAGGTTGGGCTCCTTCTCCACCCTCGCGGGCTGGTCACCCCGGGGGAGCGTCCTTCTGCCCCCCGACGTGCAGGGCTTTCTCTCCTTCTCTGCCTCCTGCTCTTCCCCGCGGGCCCTGGGGGGCTTCTCAGAGTTGGCCTGCTGCTCCCTGGGGCCCCAGCCACCAGGCCTGCTCCTGGCATCTCTCCTCCCGTCCCTCGGCCCCTCCTCGGCGCCGGGCTGAGCCTCCGCGACATCCTGCGCCTTGGCTGCTCCTTGCGGCTGACCTTCCTGGCCTTCGGGCTCTCTGCCCTCTTTCCTGTCCCCGCTCTGGCTGGGCCTCGCCTCCTGCGCCGGGTTCCTGGGGCTGCTCCTGTGGCCGTCACCCTTCGGCCCTTCCTCCCCGCCCGGACAGGGGGCCTCGGCCTCGGGGGACCTCCGGCAGCTTCTGGTCCTCACCAGCTTCTCCACGTCGTACCGCTGGCACCGGCCCAGGTCCAGCTGGCTGGTGCCCAGGGACAGCCTGTCCCGCCGCAGGCTCTGCCGAAGCTCCCTCTCTCTCCGGCACTTGTCGCACCTGATGATCTCGCCCGAGGTCTTCTCGATCTCCACGCCCAGGTGCTTCTCCCCGCTGGCGCGCCTCTCCACAGGGGCCTCCCTGGGGGGCTGGCCACCAGGGTCGGGCTCCCGCTTCCCCCTCACCCATGTCTTCTGGGCCTTCGCCCTGTTTTCCAGCACCGGCTCCACGGGCGTCTTCCCCTGATGCCTGATGGCCGCCTGGGACCCAGCAGCCTCACTGCAGCTCTGGGCTGCCTCAGTTTCCCCAGCGTGGTGGCCCCCTTTCAGAGTCTTGCTATAGAGCCTGCTTCTCAGCCTCGGCGAAGGGAGCCTGCTGTGCTGGGTCAGCGTCAGGGCCCGGGCTTTGGCGGGGTACAGTTCTTCCATGGCCGCCTGGATGTTCTTCAAGGTCAACGGTTCCTTGCCCGTGGCGATGAAAGCATCGCCTTCCCGGAAGAAATCAGAGACGCTGTGGATCTCCCGGCCCTTGAGGTTAAACAGCTTCCTCACGCGATCGCTCTTCCACCTTGGGAAGCCCAGCGCCTCCGAGACGTCCGCCAGGAGCTGCTCGAAGGTCTGCACCGACCGCCGGTTGAGGAGCAGGGTGATCTTGCGGAGGGGGTGCCCCCCTGGCCTCACCACGGTCACCACCCTGGGCTTCAGCACGCTGCTCTCGGCGTGGAGGCAGTGGCGGCCCTGCGGGGGGCTGAGCATGGGCACCGCGGAGCTGCGGGGGCCCAGCAGCGGCCTCTCCAGGCTCCCCCGGCCAGCAGGCAGCCACGTGCCCTGCAGCTTCCGCTCCATGATTCTCGAGCTCAGGTATTTCAGGGAGTGGTCACAGAGGCCTCGATGTCCTGCGAGGGGAAAAATGACAACACAGTATATTAGCCAACATGAGTTCAAAGAGCCTGTGGCCTTCAGCAAGACTTTACTAAAGGTGACCGATTCTATTATAGTTTAGAAGGGTGATCTTGGAGGATCTGCTTGAAACGATGGATTTAGATCTAATCCCAGTCTCCTCTGTGAGAGACCCGGAGTGCAGAATGGGGTCTGCGTTGGGCCTCAGGTGGCTCCTCTAGGCCTCGCAGGAACCCCCAGCTTGGGCCACTACCTCGGAGCCCATTCTAGGCAACTCCTGCTACCCCTAAAGCGAGGTGACCTTCAAGGATCTACAATTGAGGTCAAAGGTCCAAGGTTTGCTACCCAGGAAATACCAACAAGAGGTCAGAACATTCCAGAACATTAAAGAACCCGAATCTCACCCACTTCAAGTTTTCTCAGCTTGACTTTCAACCCACCTCAAGGTGACGTGGTCTGTGAGGAGGTTATGGTCCCAGAGTTTGAGACGGATCTGGCTTTGAATCCTGGCAAGGCCACTGACTATTGGTGTGAACCTGGGCCAAGTACTAACATTTCAGTCTTCTCGCCTATGAAGTAGGAATGCTAGCACTCTCCTCCCAGGGGTTTTGTGAAGAATAAACAGCAAAATGATTGTAATTTAGAGTATGTGACACACAGGGCACAGCAACTGCCACTTACTAACACTGTCCACACCATCTTAATATCTCTTTTGTAGGATCACTTCCTTTGGGTAGCGATGTAATCTATCGACAAGGGAGAGTCCCACTGTGCACAGCTTCACCTGGCCTCACGGGAACTCATGGGCAAGCAGCACATGGTGGGTATTTCTAGAGCTCTGATTGACATTTTCTTGCCCTGGGGTTAAAAAAAAAAAAGCTAAAGATTTTTCTTCTCCAAAAGGTTTTTTCTCTCATGATTAAAAAAGGGGAAAGAAAGAAACCAAGACCATCTTACTGTTCGGAGCTTTAATACTGAGGATGTGTTCCTTCTCATTATATTTCCAGATAAACTGAATGAATGAGTAAAACAAGACTTTGTATTTCCTGATCCACTGCACCCAGCCAGAATAAAGTACACAAGGCTAAAAGCAGCTTCATTTCCATTTCTGACAAGGTCAGGAAAGGAAATAGGAAAACGACAGAATGTGTAGGTCAATTCGACCATGAGGGTGGGCTGTGAGTTATTCAAGTCACCCGCAGGATCCATGTGTCATATCCTACGTAGGACTCTACCATCTCTGCTTCCTTTAAAAAGAAGTTACAAGTAACTTTTTTTTAAAGTACATTCTGTTTAAAAAAGGGAGAGGGAGAGAGAGATAGAAACATCGATGAGAGTGAAATGAAACACTGATCAGCTGCCTCCTGCGCACCGGCTACTGGGGATCGAGCCCACAACCCAGGCATGTGCCCTGACCGGGAATCAAACCAGCGACCTCTTGGTGCATGGTACAATGCCCAACCAAATGAGCCACACCAGCTGGGCACAAGTCACTTTTTAAGTGCATCTGAATTGTGGCAAAAACTCCAGTTGTGCCAGGATGGGCAATTTGGCCGGCCGTATTTACCCAGAGTGGTTTTTTGTTTTTTAATTATAACATGCAATCTGTTCTGCGATGATTTCCCTCTAGACACAGGTGTCAGAGTAGATGACAAGTGGTGGCTGGTACTGATCTTCTCATGTGCCATAAATTTATGAGCTTCACAGTCACATTTACAGTGAAACTATTTATGGACATGCTATTTCTTTTCTTCTCGTGTTCTCTCTAGTCTGCCTCCATATTTGTCGGGGAGAGTGGATGCTGAGAGAGAGGGCCACGGGAGTAATACTAGTTTTTTCCTCACTGGAAGAACTGAGAAAGGGTGCCAAGGAGGGTGACCTCTACATGCATGTGCCAACGGAACCAGCGTTCTCATTTGTTATTCCTATGGTGCTTCTCAGAGTAAAACCCTCAATACATACTTGTCAGGCTAAGGAAATGGGAAAAAAATTACCTATTCCAGGGAAGGGAAAGGAGAGAGAATTTTTCAGGGAGAACCAGGGTGGCAAGGGGGCATTCAGTGAACACATTAGGGATGTGAGAGAGTTTGGTATGGAAGGGGGATCAGGAGGGTGCCAGAGAAAGGTCCAGTATAAGAGGTCAGGGAGGCCAAGAGGAATGACTCAGGGAGTGGGACAGACACTATGGGGCTCACATGTTGAGTGGCGACCTAGGATGACGGAGGGGCAAACCATGATGGGACCAGTGGCCTCAAGGTCCCAAACAGTGAAAACTGTGGAGTTTGGGAATGGTGATAGATGACTTGACCCTGTGGTACCCAGAGTTGGAGCCGAAGGGGGCATGCTCTCTGGGGTGGCTGTGCCCAGCCAGTTTCAGCAGACCCAACCTCAGAACCCACCCTGATTCCTGCTGGTTAGGGGAACAATCTGGGAGCACCCCATGCCTGAACCTAGGAGAGGCTCCACAAGCGTGGCCCCCATCCCAGGGCGCAGACACAAAGGATGTGAAGACAGAGCCGCGTGGCCTCCGCCAAGCCACCTTCAGGCCTGCTCAGCCCACTGCCAGGCATCCCCAAACTCACTCAAAACCCCCGCGGGCTGGGGCAAGAGTGGGAACTCAGACCCCCACCTGCTCAGCATAACTGGGTCCTGTCTGCTCCAAGCTACTCTGGACACCAGGAAAATATAACCCCAAGGGGCAAGTATTTTTACCCCCTTCCACAAGCCCTCCTGCCCCCTCATAAATTCTTAGCCCAGAGCATAGTTTTCTTCTTTAAAGGTAAGAGAATAAAATCAGGAGACTGAATGCCTGGTCCTCAGTCAAGGAGAGCAAACATGAGAGAAAGAACATGATACATCCCTTGGGCCCTGGGCTAGTCTCCAGGAACAGCCTCACCTCCCAGGGACGACAGCACAGGGAGTACTTTTAGGCTGACTGTAACGAGCATTATCTGTGTACCTACCCCAGTCAACCCAATCAGAAAGCCAAAGGCCAGCCTGTGTCTACACATCTCCAACCACTCACAAAATCGATTAAATGTAATCATGTGAGATGGCTGGTAGTTCCACCCATCTTGACCTACAAAAAAACAGAAATTTCATATGGTTCAACCTAATATGATCTAGGTTAGTAGCCCCTACACCAACCGTAAATAGTTAATGAAGGTATAGATAATAAAAATTAAACATCCTAATTCCCAGTCCTCAGTCACCAAGCCAGCAGCTTCCCAGGAAGTGACATAGAGAAAGGATGCCCTGTTTTTCTGTTAACTTCCTACAGCAACATAAACTGGCCTCGATTTGACAGTATTGCTATTTTTGCCTCATATACCACAAATACACGTGTTTAAGGTTTCTCCCCAGTGTCAACCTAACCCCATGCATACAGCAGAACAAGCACTGCTCTTGCTGAGCCATGCCTCTGCTCAAGAGCCTACAGTGGCTCCCTATTTCCATCCTGGAAGGTCAAACCCAAACCCCTCAACTTGATATGGAAGGGCCTCCATAATCCAGACGTCCCCATCCATCCCAAGCCCACTCCACCCTCACCCTTCCCCCATCCAAGCCTCACCATCCTGTAAGACCTAAGGCCCACATCCACCACCAAACCTTCCCTGACCTCACAAGTTCACGGTCACAGCTCCTTCCTCTGAAGACCTATTCATTTCATTAAACCAACATTTAGCACGAATGCCTGAGATGCAATCCCAGCCCTTGGCTGCAGAACACCTGGTCTACCTGGCCTCCCCTTCTGCACGTCTCAGCTAACTGCTGCTTCGTCTCCACAGGTGTGAATTCTCCCTCTCAACTAAACTTAAGCTCCACCAAAACAGACACCATGGGTGAAGCAATTCCCTACTCCATCCTGTCCCACACAATGGGCACTCCAGGCTTGGACCAGTTCCCAGCCCTAACGTCAAATACCTACGTCAAGTCTCGGGCTTCTAGCTTGCATTGTAAATACCTGAGTGCAACGACGTTCAGCACTGGGAGACATCACACAACAGACCTCCTCAACAGATCAAATAAGCGAAAACTAAATAAGAAACCACGGTTTCCTCCAAATCCATGTACGTCTCAAGGGCAAAGAGAATACAGTGCTAAATGTGAGTGGGTAGGGTGAGTTTGCCACTTGTGTAGCAATTGAAATAGAAAACCAGTAGGAACAGAATAGTAACAGAAACACTCCAGAAAACCTAAGCATGCAGCTCTTCTGGGGAGATGATAATCTTGGCATGCAGCTCTTCTGGGGGATAATCTAGGCAAACAGCTCTTCTGGGGGATAATCTAAGCTTACAGCTCTTCCTGCTCACTGGTCCTAGGATTCTCTGCCTGGTGCAACCCAATAAACTCAGCAACTGCCCAGGTATTTTGCTGTTATTAATGGGTTCGGCTCCTATCCGCCGCCGCAATTCAGGTGAATTAAAATAACCCGATTCCACAATGGTCAGCTCAACGCGTTGTTATACCGAAAAGGTTACCAAAATGACTGGAAGTCGCATTAACCCAGTTTCCTTTCTAATTGTTTATTACCACTTTGTTTACGCTGCTGAATATCAAGCTGAAGATCAAGAAATAAAACAATAATATACTGCTGAAATTAATCTTTTGTCTTGTTTAATCAGAAAAAGAGAGTGCACCTTTCCCTAAAGTAGCTAAACCAGTGGCTCCCACCTCTGACGTAGTGGGCCGTGTGGGGTACGGCTTCTCTCACACTCACACACACACACACACACACACACACACACACGGGCCGGACGACACTTTGAGAAGCAAAGACACAGAGAGAAGTTCCAACTGGTCGACTACAACTAATTTCAAAGCGCCCGTAAACCGATCACAAAGTCCTCGGACTAGTACATATCCATCTGATTAACCCAGAAGTGTGGCAGGCGACCCCACGCCATCCAAGCTGGCATCAGGGTGCGCTTTGGCCCAGTGTGAGTTTATTTCTCTGTGGC